GAGGAGGTCACATATAGTTCCTTGTAATTGGTTCCCTCTTTCCTACCCACTCTCTCTCTACCCTCCCTGTATCACCACTCACACCACTGGTCCTGTAGGGATCATCCGCCCTGGATTCCCTGGATTTCCAGTTCCTATCTGTACCCAAGGATTTCTTAAAAGAAAACCTTGGCAGTGAGACCAAAGGATATGGATAGAATCGATAAAGAATGATGGCATGTTGGGAAACAGCATGAAACTTTGCAATCTTTTTCCGAACCAGCCACGAAGGCTTTTGAGATGGACTTCCCTCTGGTTGGTGGGTCCTGCTCACATTGCTGCATATTATTTCAAAAAGAAAAAAGAAAACCAGGCCAATGCCAGGAAGCGACCCACCATCCAGTAACAGGATGCGGCATTCTAAGTAACTACAAAGAAAGTTGGACTTAACAACCTTCAGACAAGAAAGGCTACCAAATGGATCACAAAAAAGCACTGTGAGAGCCGCTCCAATTTGCAAATACAAATGCAAACCGAACCCACTGCCTTAGAGTAGGTTCTGACCCATAGGGACCCTAATTGGTTTCCAAGGCTATAAATCTTTACAGCAGCAGACAGCCTCATCTTTCTCTTGAGGAGCTCCTAGTGGGTTTGAACCATTGACCTTGCAGTTCACGGTCCAACACCTATGGTGCCACCAAGCTTCCTTAATTTGCTAATAAAGACCGAGATAGAAAAAAATGCCCTTGGGCAGGGAGAGGAAGAAATGATCAAATGATGCCCAACAACACAAACACAATAGGTATTTCAGCCTTTGCACCACCCTCTGTCTTCTAACAAAATCCCCCTTCTAAATTGTGACACAGTGCCCCTCTTTTCATCTCATTGTTGTCCATTTCTTTCCGAGACAAATCCTGATGTCGCTGAGTCAATCCCGACTCTCCGTGACCCTGTAAGACAGCGTAGAACTGCTCCCGGGGGTTCCCATGGCTACCAACCTGCACAGAAGCAGACTGCCCTATCTTCCTGGTGGGCGCAAGCCCCGCCAGCACTTAGTTGCTGCAACACCAGCACCCCCATTAAAAAAAAAAATGGAATTTGGGATCAGTGAGTCAGAGTTTTAACTCAGAAGAGAAGCTGGGCAAAGGACTTATGCTTACTGAGCTCCACTTTCTCCAGAAAAACTGGCTTCAGGGCAATAAAGCAGGGGAATCGTGAGGATGCAATTATACAATTCCTGTGAAACTAAACCAAGCTCCCTGCCACAGCCGATTCCTACTCAGAGCAACCCTATAGGACAGGGAAGAACCACCCCGGTGGGTTACGGAGATGCTTAACTCTTTCCGGGAGCAGAAAGCCTCATCTTTCTCTCTCAGAGCAGTTGGTGATTTCGAACTGCTCACCATGCAGCTGGTAGGCCCATGTGTAACCCCTAGGCCACCAGGGAGACTTAAACTTTGGGAAATTCTGTATATAGGTAAGCATCATGCAGGGTTCACTCAGTTTCCACATCTGTAATAAAGGGCTATCCATTAGCTGACTCCAGGATCATTTGCAAAGTAAAGTTTTTAATGGGTACAGAACTCCCCAGCAGGGGGAAACTTTAAAACCTATGGATCTGTGGGTTCCCACTAAAGCACAGAAGGCAGTTCAGTGGAATCCAAGCTGGTCAACTCAAAGGGGAGAGACGACATATAGTAAAAGCTGCTTTTGTCCACTGAGAAGGAAAGGGGCTGTTGGGGAATCTCAAACCATCCCTGGTGTCTTTAACTTTCATCTTGTTCGGCTGAGCGCCAGATGAAATTTGCACAGAGAGAGGCTGTGTTAGTCTGGGTAGGCTGCAGAAACAAGGCCGTGCTTCTTGTTGTTGTTGTTTTCATGAAAAACGCATCCCTCTATTAGACTCACCTTCAGAATGACAAGAGGGTCACAGAATGAGAATGTCCCTGAAAAGGAAAATCTGCTGCGAGGACAACAGTTCAGGACCCTGGGGAGTCTCCAGTGAGAGAGCAAGTGCTGGCTGACTGGTGGGCAGAACACCTCGAGCCATCTCCCTCAAACCCCTTCTTCCCCTTTGCCCCCTGGGTATCCCCTACCTCTTTGACAGTTATTCATTCACTCACTCATTCATCGTCTCTAGCTCTTGTTCTTCTCTTTTGTCTTCTCTTTACCTTTCCCTTCCATCCATCCATCCCTCTCCATCCAAGGAGAGCGTATTTGCTTCCAGACTGGGCTATGACACTAAGAAGTACTGTTTACATCGAGGCCCCATACCCTGCCATCCAACTGATTTCAACTCAAAGTGACCCTATATAATGTGTCTAAGGCTAGAGTGATTTACAGGACCAGACAACTTCCATCTTTCTCCTGAAGAGTGGCTAGTGGGCTTGAACCAATGACCTTGTGGTTCGTAGCCCAAATTCTAACCCATGGTGCCACCAGAGCACCTTACATTGAGACCAATGTACACCGAAATGTGTGTGCGCAAATCAATATTTTTATACATTAAAAAATTAATTTTATTAAGAGATACCCATACTACATGTAATGTACTCTGAACTTTTTCATTCTACTTCTTTGTTTCTGCTTTGTTTTTTAATGCTAGTTGAAGGTTGCAACTGATTTCCCAGCTCCTAGTTTTATAAACACTGGTTTATTTATCTATAAAGTTTTGTTTTATTGTGGGCTCTTACAGCTCTTATCACAATCCATACGTATATATCCATTGTGTCAAGCACATCTGTGAACACTGGTGGACAATGTGGTGGCTTTGGTAACAGAGACCTACCTGCCTTTATACCAGCTCTGTGACCTTGGGTGTTATTTAACCTTCCTGCGTTCCAGATTTGTCATCTGTAAAATGGAAACCGTGGTGCCCATGTCATAGAGTTGTTGTGTCCATTAAACAATATAATGCACACAAAGTTCTGTGCCCATGGTATGGAATCACCAAAGCACGCTACTCTTGAGAGTGGACAGGCCAATACTCCAGTCTTGTCGGCAATGCCCATCCCAGGATGAAATGTAGATAAAATAAATTTCAAATATATACTAAGGTTAAAATATTTCTCTACCTTTCGGAAGGAATCAATTCTCAATCCCCACAGAACCCAACACAAGTGGCTAGTAAGGAATTACATCCATGGTTTCCCTGCTGTTGGCCTCCACAGGGCCCCATGGGCATTTCATCACTCTCCCTCCCATCCGGTCCTTCCTCTCCATTGGTTCCATCTGGGCCACCTTCGGGCCACGTCGAGGGAGCCACTACAATGGGGACTGGCTTTTCTTTGTCCCTAGTAAAGGCCATCGAAAACATGTGGGCTGTGTGGGCTCACAGGGCCTCTGTCCCAACCACCAAACTCTACCTCTGCCACATGAAAGTGCACACCACACACATATGAA